TGTGCCGAGATAGGCACTTGTTCTATCTCAGTGAACAACTGTGTACATAATTATCTCTGTATGTATATCTTGTCTCTCACGTGTTCTCTCTCTCTCTTCCTTTTCTCTCTGTGTCTCTTTCTCTCCCGCTGCGTCTCTTTCTCTCTCGCTGTTTCTCTTCGGTCCGCCACGGTTGATTGACTCGCGTGGAAAGGAAAGAGGAATATAAAAGGAACGGACAGATTGAAATAAAGTTAGTTGAATACACGATATCATGTCTTATCGTTACATGGCGACCCTGTCAAACTGAACCTAAATCTTTTGATCGAAGAAAACGTGTTGAAACAATAAATAATAATAATAATATCAATTATGGCATCTGAAAAAGTAACAGTTGAACAAGCAGTTCAAAAGTTATCTGAAGTAAACAGCAACAATAGTGCACGATTGAATAGTCTGGAAACAAAGCTGACCGAAATACATGACAATTTGATTGATCAAGGCAAAAATACTACGAGTTTACCGCAGGAAATCCTTAACCTACAGGAAAAGATGACCAAACAAATAGAAGCTGTTCAATCACAAACACAAGAATGGCAAAATGTGACAGTATCAAAGTTAGAACAAAAGCATCAAGAACTGGAACAGCTGACAAACAACCTTCGAGACATGAAAATGGAAATACAAAAAATTTGTGAAGCTATTACAATGAAAACATTAGAAAAAAGTAATCTCAACCAATTAATAGAAGAAAACACCCTGACACCTCATACACAACGAAATTCATCGACAATGGACGAATCATTTAATAATGACCAACCTGATCGACAGCATCAAACAACAACAACAATTATTATCCCACCATCATCGTCAATACCAACATTTAGTGGAAGTATCATGGAGAATCCTCGTCAATTTCTTATTCGAGTCAAAGAATATGCAGAAACAATAAACCATTGGAATGATCAACATTTACTTAAGGGCATCTCACAATTCCTTCGAAACACAGCCCTTGAATGGTACTGTCAATTAGGTATTTCAAATCGACGTCCACAAACTTGGACGGAATTCAAGGTAATCTTTCTCAACCAATTCAATTCACCAATTCGACGAGCACATCAAGAGCAGCAGTGGAAGAGCTGTAAACAAGAAGAAAATGAAACAATCAATGAATTTATTGTTCGACTTCGGGCCCTCTGGCAAGAACAAAAGCCGAATGAAACAGAAAGTGATCTCATTCGACACCTGATGTGCAAGATGAGAAACAATTTATTAACAATGATCGGTATATCTCGATGTGAATCACTAGACGAGATTATTTTAGAAGCTCAAAAAATTGAAGAAATACTCTATCAACGAAATAAACAACGTCAAAGAACTGATTACGATGACGTAGTACATAATGATACACCAACAACAACAATGTACAAAAACGAAAATCATTACGAGGTACAAACAATATCGGCACATCAAATGAACCGACAAACAGAATTCAACAATAGAAGAAATTTAGCATCGAATAAGAATACAAATGATTATATGACACCTCGACAATCACATCAATCAACACGTGCAACGATTAACCAACAGAGCGGATACCCATCAAACGAAGCAAAATGTTACATGTGCGGACAAAAAGGACATTTTAGAAGAAACTGTCCATATCAATATAACACCTATCAACACCGGAATTCGTGGCATTACTCAAAAAACGACAATGGAGCACATGGTGGACGGGTCCATGGCGCTCCGATGTAAAATATCCCGTTCAACTATCCGCCGAAATTCATACTATGAACATTTATAATAATACTCCATTAATATTACAAGGTATGATTGCAGGAAGACGAACACAACTACTTATCGATTCTGGAGCATCGCTCACATTAATTAATCTTCAATTCTTTCGACGACTGCCACGATATTATCGTCAAAGAGCATATCCCCCTCCATCCAATTTATGTCTTCAATTGGCGGATAGATCACAACTCGATGTTAAATATGCATTATCACTTCCAATAACCATCTCCAACTCAACTCGTGTACATAAAGTCTACGTGGTCCCAAAATTATGGCGGTCGTGTATTATTGGTAATGATTTAATACGTGAACACAATCTTCAAATAGATGGTGGACAACAATATGCATACTTCAAAGCGAAGAAAAAAAATATACAGCTGCAACAGGAAAGAAAAGAAACAATTAAGAACGATGATGAATATGTGTTGATTGCCAATGAGCGTGTCAAGATTTCACCATTTCATGCATTTAACATTGAAGTTAAACCAAATAAACCATTCTCAATTATAGAAGAAGATGACAGAGATGAATATGAAGTATCATCAATAAAAGAAGCTCCACGTGTAGCCAACGGCATTATTACACCATGTGAACATATGACACTGCAGGTAGCTAATCTAACGGAAAGAACGATTATGATCTATAAAAATCAGCCGCTGGCGACAATGACTCGTCTTAATCAAATTCAATTAAATATGATGCAACATGGAACAATATCATCAGCAACAAAACAAACGACATCAAAAACAGACAATGATGTAAGTTTAATCAACACTGATTTAGACGAACATCAAAAAGAACAAATAAAACAACTTATTCAACAGTTTCCGAATGTGTTTAACGAACAACCAGGAAGAACAAAAAAAACACAACATCAAATTAATTTAGTTCCAGGTGCACAACCATTTAATTCACCACCATTTCGTTATGCACCAATAAGAAAGCAAATAATCGAACAGAACATAAAAGAAATGTTAGATCAAGGGATTATTTCACCATCAACAAGTCCATGGGCATCACCCGTTATACTAGTTCCAAAGAAAGATGGAAACTTACGTTTCTGTATTGATTATCGAAAATTAAATGCAGTAACAATTCGTGATGCATACCCACTGCCAAGAATAGATGATACATTAGATTCATTACGACAAGCAAAATTTGTATCAACACTCGATTTACGCTCCGGATACTGGCAAGTGGAAATGGATCAAGATTCAAGAAAGAAGACCGCCTTTGTAACACATAAAGGTTTATTTGAATTTAATGTTATGCCATTCGGTTTAACTAATGCTCCAGCAACATTCCAACGATTAATGGACATAGTGTTAGCGGGTCTCAAGTGGCAATGCTGTCTCGTTTACATTGACGATGTGGTAATTTTCTCACCAACATTTGAACAACATGTGAAAGATTTAGAAAAAGTATTCCAAGCTCTTCAATCAGCAAATCTGACTTTGAAAGCATCAAAATGTCAATTCTGCCGTCGAGAAATGCGTTACTTGGGACACATTATCACTCAGAATGGCATTAAACCAGATCCAGATTTAATTAAATCAGTGACAAACTTTCCTCAACCGAAAAAGATCAAAGATGTTCAATCATTTCTTGGTTTAACCGGTTATTATCGTCGATTCATCAAAGATTACTCAAAAATAGCCGAACCATTATTACAACAGCTCCGAAACTGTCAAAAAGGCAATCATCATTTAAAATGGTCAAAAGAATGCACCGACGCCTTTGAAACATTAAAACAAAGATTAACAAACGCACCAATTATGAACACACCAAATTTCGAACAGCCGTTCATATTGGAGCTCGACGCTTGTGAATATGGCCTAGGGGCCATATTAACACAAGAATATGATGGGGAAAAATATGTAATAGCGTATGCAAGTCGAACATTATCAACTGCCGAAAGAAAATATGGAGCGACAGAGCGTGAAGCATTAGCCATTGTATGGGCAACAAAATATTTTCGTCCATACCTCGAAGGTAATAAAATTTATATTAGATCAGATTGTAAAGCATTAGAATGGATGCGTACGGCAAAAGATGTAACAGGTCGATTAGCCCGGTGGGCGATGAAATTATCTGCTTATCAAATTGAAGAAATCAAATATCGTCCGGGAAGATTAAATGCTAACGCCGATTCGTTATCACGCAATCCATTATCAAATAATGATATTAATCAACTCGAGGTGTCAACAATCGAAACAGCTGTTAACTTATGGCAAAATACAAACATTCTTGATGATATAAGAAAAGAACAAGAAGCTGACTCCAAATTAAAACCAATAATCGAATTATTAAAAACAAAACCATCAACAGATTTTAATGGTAAACGTAATCCCTACATTCTTATAAATGGACTACTGTACAAAATTAAAAACGCCAATAAACATTACAATCAACGTATCGTGGGTGCAAAACATCTGCTAGTTATTCCAAGAGCAATGCAAAATAAACTATTGGAGTGGGCACACGATCACCCAACAGCTGGGCATGGAGGCCAACAAAAAACATTATTTAGATTGTCAACAAGAGTACATTGGATATCAATGAGAAAAGATGTATTTAATTACATAGCCGCATGTCAAGAATGTCAACAATTTAAATACAATAACGCTCCAACAGCAAGCCCAATGCAAATGCACTTAGTGAATGAACCATGGCACACAATCGGCATAGACATTATGGGTCCTTTACCGACAACGGCCAGACAAAAACGATTTCTTCTCGTCGTGGTAGACTACTTCACCAGATGGATCGAACTATTTCCACTGAAGTCAACTACATCTACCGATATGGTCAATATTCTCATGAACGAAGTATTTTCAAGATATGGATTGCCACAACACATTGTATCTGATAATGGCCCACAATTCGTCTCAAATTTATTTAAAAATTTTTGTGACACATTAGGTATTAAACAAAATTTAACTGCAAATTATCACCCACAAAGCAATATGACAGAACGTGTCAATAGAACATTAAAGCCGTTAATTGCCATATATGATCAACATACAACACAAAGAGAATACACTGAAGGTGATCTCGTATGGGTAGCCACTCCAACAGCACAAATTGGAGAAAATTCAATGGGTGGAAAATTACAACCACATTATCAAGGTCCATGCCGTCTGATCCAGCAATTATCATCAAATACATTCACAGTACGACGGCTAAAGGATAACGTTGAACTTGGTGCAACGAATACGGATCGCCTCAAACCATACATTGTACTAGAGAGAAACAATCAAGAAACAACGACAAACGACAAAACAATCAATCAAAGAGAAACGACAACGTCAATCAATAACGGCGAGCCATCAATAGATGATCTAGATCAAGGAGAGGTGGGACAAAATCAACAATCAACCTGCCATCAACTAATTCAACGTCGAGTGTCAAATCGTCACCGCAGGGTGCCGACACGATACATGGCGAATTAAACCGCAGCTGATATCATCGATTCGACACGTAAGCAGATG